AAATTGCTTCAATCTTTGGCTTCCTGAATATAAAGTTGTAGGGCTATTTCTTTCCTTGTCTTGTTCCTTCCTTCCTCCCTCCCTTCCTTCCTTCCTTCTTCCTTTCTCCCTCCCTCTCTGTCCTTCCTTCCTTCCTTCCTTTCCTTCCTTCCTTCCTTCCTTCCTTCTTTCTTTCTTTCCTTCCTTCTTTCTTTCCTTCCTTCCTTCCTTCCTTCCTTCTTTCTTTCTTCCCTCTCCTTCTTTCTTTCTTTCTTTCTTTCTTTCTTTCCTTCTTTCTTTCTTTCTTCCCTTTCCTTCTTTCTTCTCTTCTCTTTGTATTAGGGCTTGAACTCAGTGCCTGGGCACTATCCCTGAGCTATTTTTCCTCAGTGCTAGCATGTTACCACTTTGAGCCACAGCTTCACTTGTGGTTAATTGTAGATTAGAGTCTAAACAGGACTTTCCTGCCTGGCACTGGCTTTGAACTGTGATCCTCACATCTCAACCTCCTCAGTAGATAGCATTACAGGCATGAGCTCCCAGCTCACCAACCTGACTCTTTTCTTGCAATGTGTATGTGTGGGGAGAGGCAATGATGAAGAGAAGGGAGAGCTAGGCAGAGATTGCCTCTTCTTTCTTTTGGGGGGGGGGTCCGGTCGTGGGGCCTGAACTCTAGGCCTGGGCGCTGTCCCTCAGCTCTTCAGCTCAAGGCTAGCGCTCTACCACGTGAGCCACAGCACCTCTTCTGGCTTTTTTTTTCTTTTTGCTTATGTGGTGCTGGGGAATCAAACCCAGGGCCTCAGGCATGCAAGGCAAGCGCTCTACCACTGAGCCACCTTCTCAGCCCTGCCTCTTCTTTCTTGAAAGATCCACTTGCGTCTCCTATCCTCATCTCCTCTGCCTAATAATAGTCCTTCAAGTCCCAATACTCCTCAGCATCAGGCATGAAAGACAAACCCAGCCATTTCCTCCCATATGGTCAGTCTGGGACCCAGCAGGTGGTGGCAGCATGGAGGGTTTCCATTTCATGTTCACAACACAGAGACAAGTGAAGCAGAGTGATGTTATGGAGAAGAGCTGGGTGATTGTGTGATCAGTGTGTTCCAGGTGTGAAATGGAGGGAAGTGTGTTCTGCACAGGGGTGTGGAGGCTTTCTGGGCCTCTTGCTAGATCGTGGCCCATAAAGTACACACTGCATTAAGTTGATTCAGGCCCAGATTCATATCTCTAGAAAACAAAGATAAGCTTTCCAAGACACTTCTAGCCTTAATGGCAGCAGCTTCTTCTGCTCAAAATAAACAGGGCGTGGCAAGAGGGCAGGGGAGGAAATGGAAGGCTGAGGAAGAGAAAATGCACAAGATGAGACCAGCCTTCACATCAGGCTCTTCTGGGAGGAAAGCGAGTCTTTCTAGGGCAGGCAAGACACTTAGACATAGTACAGGGAAGAGCGTGAAAGGTCTATCTGGAAGATTTTGTGCGACTTAGGTTGAGTGCAGAGGAATGAGTAAGGATGTTATTTCAGAATCCACCCAGAGATTCATTGGTTTCTGGTCTCCTGAGATGCATTGCCCAATGAATGATTGATTGAATGAGTGAGAATAAATGATCCACGAGTACAGGAGATTAGAAGATACTGCAGAGTCATTTGGCCACGTTTGAGGGCCCTTGTCATGGGCTTTTATTGTGATTTTTATTTGTGATATTGGAGCTTTGAACTCAGGGCCTAATGTATGATTTTTTTTTGGCCCAAGCCTGCTTTGGATCTTGATTCTTTTGTCTCTGTCTTGTGAGTAGCTGAGTAGGGATTACATGTACCTTCCCCCACTTCACCCCCCAACCTGTCTCCTTTAAGCAACACATACAAACATCTTACATGATATGGGACACAGTATAGGAAACCCTAAATTAAGGTAACATTCCCCAGCCAGGTGACTATGGCTCATGCCTATAACCCTAGCTACTTAGGAGGCTGAGATCTAGAGGTTCAAGACTAACTTGAGGAGGGAAGTTCACTAGTCTCCATCTCCAAAATAATGGGCAAATAACAGGGCTGGGGGCATGGTTCAAGTGATAGAGCACTGGCTGAGCAGGTAAGCCTGTGCAAACCTGAAGCCCCAAGTTCAAACCTCCCCACAAAAAAGACAGCACTTTACCATTATATGCAAAGAAATAGTACTATTTTCACAGGGTTAGGAGGGCAAAATGTCTGAGTGGGGTTGACTTGTGCCAATACCCTAATCCATCAGCCCTGACTAGAACCCACAAAATCCTTCTGTCAGATGGTTTCCTGAGATAAGGGTGCAGTGTGGCCACAGACAGAGTGAGATCATTCATTCTGTGTGAGAATCCCCTTGGCAGCCAATTTCTTTAGCTCGGGGCTTTAAGCCTTTGGTTCTCCTCCTCTGGTCTAAGTTAGTTCTGGTGCAGGCACGTAGTGGTGGAGGAAGAGCTGTACTTGGTCTCTTTGGGATGTTTAAAGGCCCCTGAAATGCAGCAATGGGTGTACATAATAAATAATTCTTGAACGAAAGCCTGTGTTTTAGAACAGCGAAAGGATTGAAAAGCCTTTTTGTTCTCTGTCTCTAAATAGACATCTTGCTTTATACTCAAGCTTTTTTATTCAAGGCTGAAGTTCCACCACCTGAGCCACAAACCTGGCTAATAATAACACCTTAGCTATTTTCTAATATTTAGTTTTTTAGAATAGCAGGTGACAAGCTTTGCAATGTGTGTGTGTGTGTGTGTGTGTGTGTGTGTGTGTGTGTGTGTGTTCACTTAAAATCAGGGCCCTGAGTTCTTGTTCACCCCACTCAATCACAGCTGGTATTCTACCACTTGAGCCATGCCTCTTGTCGCAATTTTTTTTTTCTGGTTAATTGGAGATAAAGAGCCACTTTCTTCACCCTGGGCTGGCTTTGAATCGTGATCCTTAGATCCCAGCCTCCTGAGTCGCTAAGATTACAGATGTGAGCCAGGGGTGCCTGGCATCTCTTGCTGTTTTCAAACAATCAAGGCTACCTCATGCATTTTGAGACAATCTCAAAAATCTGTCCTGTGGCTTTGTCAGGTTTTGTAGTCCCTACTATAGCAGGCATGATAAAGACTCCCATTGCATATCATGATTCATGAGTCACATGGGGCATTGTGAAATATGACGTGGACTACGGGGTCACTCAGACACAGTGGTGTTGGGACATATTGAACATACTTATTAAGAACTGAGGTTCTCCTATACAACAGAAACTCAGAAGCAAGGATGAAAGAAATGATCCAAAGTCTAAATATAACCACCTCAAAATGTGTTCCCAGCATCTGGCATGCTTGATTAATCCTATTGTATATCTGGGGGAAAGCATACATCTAACGGCTCTGCAAATATGGAAAGGCAAGTTGAGTTGGAGGAGGGTGTGGCGTGACCAACTTAAATGGTCTTTCTGAGACAGAGGGATTGAACTCAAGGTCTCAGGCTTCTCCTGCTCAGCTTCCTTGCTCATGACTGCATCTCTAGTTGAACGTTTTTTGGCTGGTTAATCAGAGATAGAGACTTAACTGTCTCAACTGGCCTGGAGCTATGGTCCTTCAAGTTTTAGCTCCTGAGTAGCCAGACTTACATGTGTGAGCCACTGGTGCCCCGATAGAAGGGGGTCTTGAAAAGAGAAATAGGATGCCTCAAATTCCACTTTGAAAGTGTCCTGAGCCCAGAGCTGGTGGTGCATGCCTGTAATCCTAGTTACTCAGTAGATCTGAGGATCTTGGTTTGAAGCCAGTCCAGGCAGGAAAGTCTGTGAGATTCTTATCTCTAATTAACACCAAAAGTCAGAAGTGGAGCTGTTGCTCAATTAGTAGAGTGAACTCAGGGCCTGGGTACTGTCCCTTGAGTATGAGAGTTCAAGACCCAGGACCAGTACACACACACATACACACACCCCCCCCATCCCCAAACATACACACACACATATCCCATGAAACTGTTTCCAAGTTAGAAGAGCATTTGAGCAGTATTTACTTGCTAGCCTCAGAAAAATGCCACCATGAATCCTATTAAAGCTATATTGTGGAAAATTGTCACTGAGACTCAGGATAGGGCACTCCAGAGGACCTGGATTTAAACAGACTCGACAAAGACAGCATTTTCCTCTTTTCCTGGTAGTATAAATGAGCTTCTGGATGCTACCCTTTGTTAGGTGTTTTCATAGAAGATGTCCAAATATGTGAATAATTTACTTTATGAAAATAGTAAGATTTAAGGTTACTCTTGACATACTCATGAACATTTCACAATAGTTTCTTGCCTAGGATTAAAAAAAAAGGGTGGGAAACCTGGGAATTACCCATGGTGTGGGGAGGTGGGGTGGAGTGTTTTACCCATGTCTAGGTCAGCTCTACATATATTATAGTTGAAAGAAAAATCATTATTTACTCATTAGTTAAAGAAGCAAATTCTCAGTTGGGTGCCAGTGGCTCATGCCTGTAATCCTGGCTACTTAGGGGGCTGAGATCTGAGGATCCAGATGTGAAACCAGCTTGGGAAGAATACAATCATCAGCAAAAAGTTGGAAGTGAAGCAGTGGCTCAAGTGGTAGAGTACCAAGCCTTGAGCAAAAAAGTTAAGGAACAGCACTCAGAGCCTTTTAAGACCTAAGCCTTGTGTTCAAGCACCAGTACCAATACCAAAAAAAAAAACTTCCTACTGAGTCTGAATTCTTGCAGGTAGAGCTCACACATCTGCTTTTACAGGCTCACATTTAGTACTTGCTAACATTTAAGAGGCAATGTGTTAGTGTAATTCTGCTCAAAATGTCACTTCCAATGGCATGGACATTTGGGAATTTAGTAAGAAATCCTCTGCAGCCTGTGTGTGTGTGTGTGTGCGCGCACACACACACACATACTTGAATTTAGGGCCTCAATTTAGGACTTTTTATTATTCAAAACTGATGCTCCACCACTTGAGCCACACCTCCATTCCAATCTATAGCCCTTTTGCATTGGATTTTGGGATGTGACAGCGTAAATCCGTTATGGAAAAAGAACTGAAAACATCCGGTACTGTTTCTTATGTCCAGGTGGTCAACACCTGGAGGCCCCCAATTTTGTTTCGCTGCTCCTTTTGGTTTAGCTAGTGGTTATGAAATCAAGACCCCCTGCAGGGGGCGAGGCAGGCTTTCCAAGGTAGCTAGCTGCACATGCAAGCTGGAGAACCACTGACTGTAATTCCAACCAAATTCCCACCTGCCCTGCTGTGGAGAGCATCCAGGCTCTGCCACTTGAGCTTGGACCTACTGATGCTTGGTAGCAGACCCTGCCTATCTGGTCCCCAGTTCAGTGTGGGAACATGATTATACTCAGACTCTTTAGAGAAGATGGCCTGGCTTTAAAATGGGGCCTTCCCTCCCCACACCTCCCATCTTCCTCTGTGGATCAACCTCCACACTGCCTGGTGGCATTCAGACCTTCAAGTTAGGGGATGCGGAAATGAACACCAGCCAGGTAGTGTGTCTTGAGTGTGGGACTCCACAGCCTCTTCTAGCCCTCTGGAAAGCATGTCCCCTGAGAGGGAGTCAGCGGTGCCGCTCGCTTGCAGAGAGCAGAAGACTCCAGAACCCCAGATGGTCTTTCTTCTCAGATGAGTGTGAAGAGGCCTTTGTTTAACAAGTCTGTGTATTTTTTTCCCCCTGTAGGTGTTTGGATCTAGAACCTGAGGAAGCCTATAAAGAGGAGTGACAAAATGGATCCAAAAAAGTTGAAGAAAGGTCGGCATTGGGGGTGCTAATTTTGGAAGCTCGTTTGGTTGGGGGCGGGAGGAGGCAGGGCCCCATGGAAACTCCTTCTTGTCCTGGTACAGAACATAGCATATGTGGGAGATGCGAAAGGGTCACTGATAGTAAACTATGTGTTTGTGTGTATTTGTGTGTGTGTGTGTGTATGTGTGCGTGTGTGCGTTGGTATTGAGGTTTGAACTCAGGGCCTCAGGCTCTTGCTTGTCATTTTAAGCTCAAGGCTGGCATGTTACCACTTAAATGACACCTCCACTTCTGGCTTTTGGGTGGTTAATTGGAGATAAGAGTCTCGTAGACTTTCTTGCTGGGGCTGACTTCAGCTGCAATCCTCAGATCTCAGTCATGCCCCGAGTATCTAGGATTATGGGCATGAGCAGCCAGGGCCTTTGCCTTGAGGAGACCAGGAAGAATGGATAAGTCTGTGCTGGAGAGCTCCCAGGCTCCTTTTCCAGCAACAGGCAAGGCTACACATCCTTCTTCCTTGAGCAGAACTCTCAGCTCTTGTTGGGAGGTAGCAGCATCCTACCAGTGCACTCTGCTGACAGATCTCTTTACAGACAAGATCCAGGTCTTGAAGCCTGGAGATGTGTATGTCCTGGAGCTACAGGACTGGAATTTGCAGGCTTTTCTGGTACCTAGAGAATGGTTGCCAATGAATAAAAGGAAGTATGAGTCTGCCCATGATTTGATGTCTGCAAAAGAACCGGTGACTGATGGGCAGAATTTCTAGCAAAGTATACTCCTCCCAACCTAGTACCTGTCAACCACTGCCAACTCCCGGTGAGGAGCCTTCAGGGTCTATGAGCCTGAGTTCAAGCCTATCACTAATCAGTTGTATGAGCTGTCTTCCCCAAACTCATCCCATTAAAGGAGGCTGTTAACTACCTTTTAAGATAAAATAAGGATTCAATAAAAACAGTGCAGCCAAAGGTTAACAGTGATTGCTTATAGCTTATTACTCTAAGGGCTTTACAGGAATGGCTAAATGATTCCACGAGAAAGCTCTAGGACCTGTAATCTTAGCTACTCAGGAGATTGAGATCTGAGGATCATAGTTCAAAGCCAGCTCAGTAAAGAAAGTCTACAAGACTCTTATCTCTAATTAACCAGCAAAAACATGGAAGTGGAGGTGTGCTTCAGTTGGTAGAGTGCCAGCCTTGAGAACAAAAAGCCAAATGACAGCATGGTGCCCTGCGTTCAAGCCCCAGTACCAACACACACACACACACACACACACACACCACACAGAATTTTATACATGACTTTAATTTGTTTATGATTTATAGCTTATAAGTAGGTGCAGAGTAGGGTTCTGCAGCAGCTCAGTGCAGAGTCTAAATCTTATTCTAGCTAGGACTGGGGTGGGCACAATGGTGAAGACTTCAACATGTGGGTTTCAGTCCCCTCTCATTCTTTGAAGAAGCGAATTGCCGTGCAGGTGAGTGTCTAAGTTGCCCGTATTTTCTTTCCCTCTTAGGACTCACAGAAAACATTGGACTCCCTCAGCAATTGCTCGAGAAACACGACCCTTGGCCAGCTTATGTCACATATACTTCCCCGATTGTGAAAAAACTCATCGAGAAGAGCAAAATCAGAGAAGTGGAATATGCACGGATTTTAGAGGAGAACCGGCAATTAGCAAAGTCAAGCAAGTCTTCTAGCAGCACTCAGCTGAAGAGGAAAAAGTCGTCCAAGCCATCTGTGGAGCTGACGCTGCAGGACGCTCTGTCAGAGACCATGCTGTCCATATGGGGCGCTTTCCCTCTGTCAGTCATCGGGTCCACCATTACCCCAGAACCCATGAACTTACAAATGGAGTCCAGAGAAAATCCCACCATAAAGTACAACAAGATTATTTTCGCCCGGAAACCTATGACAAGGAAGCTTCCATACAGCTCACTCCAGGCCAGCAAGGAAAAACATGACAAGAATTAGCCAGAAGTCTGTCTACAGCCAGCCAGCACCAGAGAACGTACAAGAATTCAGTGCCACTAGCCACAAATGGAACTGTGGTCTTTAAACTTGAACTTGCTCCTGGTCTCATAGAGAGAAATCCCATCTTAATTTGGGTTGCAGATTGTTGGGGTTCTGGCTGTGTTAAATGTTCATTTCTACATAGGTGTTTGAGAACTTTGACTATGAGTGTTCGTCTGAGTTGAAGTTCAGGCAGAAGGCAGAAGCCACATCTGTTACTTTTAACTTGAGATAATTTCGTAGCATTATAACGTATTGTAAGTAAAAAGGGAAGAAAATGAGTTCACAGGTAATAACCAAGACAGCCTCGAAGGAAGTAGTTACAGATCCTGAGGCTTGAGCAACCATGGGAAGGTCTTGGACTTAATAAATAGGATGCTTGAAAAAGAGACATGTGGGCTGTAGCCCAGACTTCCTGAGCAAGGATTGTGGGATACAGCTTGTGCTGGTTGGTGATGCAGAAGCCCTGGGGGTGGGGTGGTGGGTCCTGCAGGGATGCCCACCCACCCCACCTCTGAGGGGGCTGGGGAAAGGGAGACCAGCTCTGGGAGCATTGAACAACCCCATATCAGGATTCAAGTGCTTCTGGGAGGAGTTGCAGCATTGCCTGGGTGAACAAAAGGATCGCCCAGGGGAAGTTGATGGGAAGTATAAAGAGGGTAAACTGCATGTAATCCAAAGCAACCAGGAAGTTCTTTCTCCACCCTCTAGCCATGCAGATTCCCACTCATGCCCCCTAGAGGCAGTGTTTTTAACAGAACACAAAACAGGAATGTTGTTTATGGATTCCCACCCCCCACCCCCCCAAGGCCAGCATGTAGATCCAAGCATACTACAAAAGGATGGAATTTTGAAGCCAAAAGAAAATTAGCCTAGTAACCCACATTGTGTAATTCTGACGTTCCTTGTGACAACTACACATAATATGGAAGTGTTTAAGTGTTGTGGGGCTTACAGATTGCAGTGGAGGCTAGAGAGTGTGTCCCTCTGATTCCCTCAGGCTTGCCTTGTTGAAGCCCAGCTGATGGAGAAGTTCTGAGCTGGACCCAGCTGTTATTTGTCTAAGGACAGCTAGAAGTGGCCCACCCATGCTCTGAACTGGCCCCCAAAGAGAGTGATGCTAAACAGGGTCCGGTTAGGATGCGGCAGCTCCATCTGGTCTAGCAAATGGGCGAGCGGTTGTCTGCCGAGTATGGCTGACCTTCCTGGCTTTCTGTGTTTGTATTTGCAAGGCAGTTGAGCCCCATCTGGCTTCCTCCTCAAAGATGAGTGGAGGATTTGATGCACTAATAGACCTAAATAGCATTTGGCCAGGTGAGTTTCCCCCATAATGCATTTCTCTCCATCCGTGGGTCTCATGTTAACGTTTATAGTTGCTAATATAGATGCAGCTTTTAAGAACTCATATCTGGATTCTATGCATTTGAGTTGGGAAACTCACATTAATTAGCTTCTAGCTCCACCCACAGTTTCTTAACCCTTGGTCAGAATACTTAGAAAAAAGCAAACAAACCAACAACCACATAAATATTACCCAGTAGATCTCAGTAGTTTGGATCATGAAGGCAGAAGGTATAGTCCTTTGAGAAGTTTTATCTCTTTTTAGTTGTTTCTGGCTAGGATATACATGGGGCTATATGGATTATAAACCCCATTGAGGATTTCGATTAAGTTAGTAGGGATTTGGGGTTATCTCTCCAACCTATTTACATGCAGTGTGGGGTGGTAATCTACCAAAGGCCACCATTTATTTTTTAAAATATTTTAGGAAATTAATAGATTAATTTTTGTGCCAGTCGTGGGCCTTGAACTCCGGGCCTAGGCATTGTCCCTGAACTTAGTTTTTGCTTGAGACTAGCACTCTACCAATTGAGCTGTAGCTCCATGTCTAGCTTTTTGATGGTTAACTGGAGATGCATCTCACAGACTTTCCTGCCTAGGCTGGCTTTGAACTGTGATCCTCAGATCTCAGCCTCCTGAGTCGCTTAGGATTATATGCATGAGACACCCATACCCAGCTGATAGATTTAAAACAATATAATATACTCTAAATTGAAATGATTATTTTATAATTAGCATTATTTAAATGAATTCTTAACAAGGTAGAACAACACAGGCTTGAGCTGAAGGCATCACTCACCCTTTCTGTTGTGAGCAAATTTACCTGCCTTGTGTGGCTGCAGACTAGATATTTCTCCCGAGACACTAATGAGAAATGGGGGGAACATCTAATCCCTTGAGCTGGGGAAACTTTGCCCAAAGCCCCAGGCTAGGATGCATGGGTCTGGCCAATGTTGGGGCTGGGTGTTCATCAGCCATGGCTCCATTCACCTGAGGACAGAGGAGGCTGTTGGGAAGGAATTCTCCTAGGGAAGATACCCACTGGGGAAGGTGGGGCAGGGGGGGGGAAAGGGGGACACCATTGGTCTCTTCCTGAAGCAGGCCCATCTGAGTGACTCAGGGTGACTGAAACTTATATGTTTGCTGGGCTGAGTGCTAGGTGGTGGGGACCACTCCATCATTCTCTCAAAGGGCTCTTTGCCTGAGATCCTAGACCAAGGCCAAGTGGCAGGGGGAGGAGACCTGGTTCACTTGGAAACCCATGACCACACAAGCCCCATTGCCCTGGGTGTGGAGCTCAGCAGATCCTGGTCAAGACTGGCTTTGTTCATGAACCCTCAGCAGCATCCCTGGTGCTCCTGGGAATCAGCTTGGTGCCCTTCTCAGGGGCCTGACACCGCTCCTGAGCTGGCAGGGCACACATGGAGAAGAATGTGAAATATGTAACCTCATCTGCCCATCCAAGCTATGGAGGCCTGGGATATCTCAGGTTACTCTAAACACACTTCACATCCATCCCAACGCCAACCCTCCCCACTCTTATTTATCTGTATATGTGGAGTTCTCTGCCTGGCAGGGGAGAGGGTTCATTGGGCCTCCCTGCTCCCTTAGGTTTGTGAAGCAACGGAGTGTATATTTTGTTAGTCTGCCTGTGTTGCTCTGTAACTAAGGGCCTGTCCTGACACACATACCAAGCAGCTGTTTTGAACAGATTCTTTGGCTCCCTGTGCAAAGTATGGTATTTTTACACATTTGCAAACTCCATGGCTGGTGTTTGAACAGTTGATGTCTAAGCTGGGCAACATGACCAAGCCTGCTGGTCACTTTTGGCGGGGATGGTGAGAACATCTAATAGTCCCCACATTCTGTGACTTCTCTGTCTGTGGCTCTGGAACAAGTCCCCATGGAGATTAGGTCCCTTGAGAAAAGAGGTGACTGCAGTCTTCAAGGTAACTTTGAGGACAAACACACTGGCGCAGATGTGGACAAGTGGATGGGTGTGTGTGTGGGTGGGTAGCTGGCTGGAGTCTAAAGAGAAGTTGTCTACTGGGTCATGCAGGAGAGAGACCAGCACAGCGTGATCAGCAAATCTTGTTCTTTTCTGTGGGCCCAAAGTGCTTATGTAAGAGATAAACAATGCCACCTAATATAGTGTAAGTTTTCCCTATTTTTCTCCCCTTTGGTGCTGGTGCTGGGCTTTGAATTCAAGGCCTGAGTGCCGTTCCTGAGCTCTTTTGCTAAAGGCCAGCACTGTACCACTTGAGCCACAGTTCCACTTCTGGCTTTTTATTTTAATGTTTTGGGTGGTTAATTGGAGGTGAGTCTCATGGACTTTCCTGCCCAGGCTGGCTTTGAACTGTGATCCTCAGATCTCAGCCTCCTGAGTAGCTAGAATTATAGGCATGAGCTACTGGCATGTGAATTCCTAACTTTTAAAAAATTTAAAATTTTATTTTTTATTCTTACATTTAATCAAGGGGTTTTAATGCAACCAATCAATTTGTGAGTATAATGCATCTTGATTGATGTCATCTGCCTTCTTTTTAATACAAGGAGACACAGCACAGGACAGGCTCTTGCTCTCTGCACTGGAATCCCTGCCAGAGCACAATAGTGCATTCACGGAGATGAAGAACTTGGTATAGGTGTCCTATCCCTCTAGCCCTGGCCTAGCCCCTGGGCACCTCCTAGCCTATAGTGGTGGTAAAAAAGTATAAGGTGTCCAAGCAGATGTGCCTATGTGTACCTTTTTATTTTTGTGTTAGTGAGACTTGAACTCGGTGCCTAGGTGCTGTCTCTGAGCTCTTCTTGCTCCAGGTGAGCACTCTACCACTTCGAGCCACAGCACCACTTCAGTTTTCTGGTGGTTCAATGAAGATAAGAGTCTCACAGACTTTCTTTTCTTGGTTGGCTTCGAACATAATCCTCAGATATCAGCCTCCTGAGTAGCTAGGAATACAGGCATGAGCCACGAGCTGCTGGCTTGTATACTTTTTTTCTGAACCATTCATTTCTAGATTTTTGGAATCTTCATACACTTCAAAGCCAAAGGGCACATTTTTTTGAAGCCCTTCAATTACCAGTGCTAGATAAGGGAAGATAGAGCAAGAATCTTAGGGCAGGGATGGGGGGGACTGAGGTATAGGGAGGGGAGGGTGTGGAGCAGGGTAAGGAAAGTAAACAGCTGAGATTTACTGTGAGCTGACATTGTCAGAGCCTGGACTGAAGCTCAGGGCCAAGTTTCTGTTTGTCAAGTAATCAGGAAAAATCCCTAGTTCCCATTCCTCCTAGACATTTGGAAATCACGGGACAGCATCCTGAGTCTGTAGGGCTTGGCAGGGCTCGGCCTGGGTGTACGGGGTGGGGGGCGGGGGGGAGCTTGTCGGGCAGAAGCAGAGAGTTCAGAATACCTTCCGCTTCTTGCTCCCACGATGACCTGAGTTCTGCATGGGTCAGGGCAAAACAAAATGGAAGCCTGATGCCAGTGGCTCACGCCTGTCATCCTAGCTACTCAGGAGGCTGACATCTGAGGATTGCAGTTCAAAGCCAGCTCGGGCAAGAAAGTCTGTGAGAGTCTTATCTCCATCCAATTAACCACCAGAAAACCAGAAGTGGTGCTGTGGCTCAAAGTGGTAGAGCACTAGCCTTGAGCAAAAGAGCTCAGAGACTGGACCTGGGCCCTGACTTGAAGCCCCACAACCGAACTCCCCCCCCCCCCCCCCCAAAAAAATGATGGAGCCCTTCCCCCATTGTGAGTGATATGTGGTATGGAAGAAAACTTGGGCTTGGTTAGCAGACCCTATTCGTATCCTAGG